TTTCTTTTTTGATAGTGATACCATGTCTGCCTCAGCGATTTATCTGCTGGACCTTAAGGGTAAGGTTCTCATATCAAGAAATTACAGGGGAGATATAGATATGTCTTCTGCTGATAAATTTATGTCTTTACTAATGGAGAAAGAAGAGGAAGGCTGTGTTACTCCAATATTGTCCCATAATGGCATAACATTCATGTATATTAAGTACAACAACTTATACCTTGTAGCCACCACTAAAAAGAATGCCAATGTAGCTCTTGTTTTTGTTTTCTTGCATAAAATTGTCCAAGTTTTCATTGAGTATTTCAAAGAATTAGAAGAGGAAAGTATTAGGGATAACTTTGTAATTATCTATGAACTTCTGGATGAATTAATGGACTTTGGTTATCCTCAAACTACAGATAGTAAGATTTTGCAGGAATTTATAACCCAAGAGAGCCACAAAATGGAGGCTCAGCCAAGACCACCCATTGCTGTTACAAATGCTGTCTCTTGGAGATCTGAAGGGATCAAATATCGTAAAAATGAAGTTTTCTTGGATGTTATCGAATCTGTTAATCTCTTGGCCAATGCTAACGGCAATGTTTTGCGTAGTGAAATTGTCGGCTGCATTAAGATGCGTGTCTATCTCTCTGGTATGCCGGAACTTCGCTTAGGACTCAACGACAAAGTATTGTTTGAAAGCACTGGCCGTGGAAAAAGTAAATCAGTCGAATTAGAAGATGTCAAATTTCATCAGTGTGTACGTTTGTCGAGGTTTGAAAATGATCGCACCATCTCTTTCATTCCTCCCGATGGTGAGTTTGAACTTATGTCGTATCGATTAAATACCCACGTGAAACCTCTAATATGGATCGAGTCCGTGATCGAACGCCATGCCCACAGTAGAGTGGAGTACATGGTGAAAGCTAAGAGTCAGTTTAAGCGGAGATCCACAGCAAATAATGTTGAGATAATAATTCCAGTACCTACTGATGCCGATTCACCTAAATTTAAGACCACTGTTGGTAATGTAAAATATGCACCTGAACAGAACGCCATAATCTGGAGTGTCAAATCCTTTCCTGGTGGTAAAGAATACCTAATGAGAGCTCATTTTGGGCTACCCAGTGTTGAGAGTGAAGAAAGTGAAGGCAAACCTCCAATTCAAGTTAAATTTGAAATTCCATATTTTACAACGTCTGGAATCCAAGTGCGCTATCTAAAAATTATTGAAAAAAGTGGTTACCAAGCTCTTCCATGGGTTAGATATATAACTCAAAACGGTGATTATCAGTTGAGAACTCATTAAAAATGTATATCTCTATTATGTGTTTGATCTTATTTTTTTGGTGGTGATTCCTAGGGGTCTAAAAATCAGCTTCTTAACTGATCAAAGTATCAAGATTATTATTGTTTTTATTTCGTATAGCTTTATCCCAGTGCATTATATTTTTATAAAAGAAGTTTTATATTAGATGTTTCCATTCCAAAGCTTTTGAGAAATAGATTCCTTTGTTCACACAATTTTTCCCTAAATTAAGAATGAATAATCTAGTGAAGTTATTTCAAGAAATATTTCAAGAGAATAGTGTTCAAATTATGATAAATTGTATTATATGTTATACAGTAATTCAAATTTATGTATAAATAAATGCTGTTTAATCTTATGTTGTGTTGTTTTTTGAGTTCTGACCATGAACTTAACAGAAACTTCATCTGTATATTTTTATTGAAAATATATATACTTATTAACCCCTTAATTGCCAAAAAAAAACTTGCACTATTCATTCCCCAGTGCTATTCCTTTTCATACAGGTGCACTCTTAGTTATTTATTATATTTGAAAAGAAAAAGCATGAATTAGTAAAACACTGTTAAGGTCATTGTATTGCATTCCAAAGTTTTTGGAATAGTTTTACAGATAGCAGCGTGATGTAAAGGTTTGTAATTTGAAAATTTACCAGAGGTAGTTAACACAACTGTTGATTGAGGCATGTATATGCACCAGCAATAGTTAAGGGGTCAAAGAAAATATAAATAATAAATAATGACTGAATAAGAAAAGCTTGGCAGTATTTTAAAAATTTTTACTATGTCTTGCGAATGCATGGTTTAATTAGCTATACATGAGAGAAAGAATATTTTCTAAAAAATGAATATATTTATGAAAAATACTGTGATTTTATAAAACTGGTGCAGAGTAGTGATGTTGTTTCTCAACAACCTTGGTATAATTTTTAATTCTGATAAATTTATTTTTGTAATACTTTAAATTTACCTGAAACATAAGAATTTTTTAAATCTGATAAATGAAAAAGAGAAAAATATATGAAGCATTATGCAATTCTAAAAATTTACTTTTATTTATTTGAAATGTGTGTATTATTTAGTGTAGGATTAAGAGCTTATGGTTTAAGGAGAAATAACATGTTGTAAAATGTATTTATTTATGTACGATATCAGTATTAGATATAAAAATGCTGTTTTGATCTACAATGTTTGTATTTTAAATCTTATTTAATAACCTTGCTTTTGTTTTATGTGAGCAGATTTTGTAATGTATTTCATACTTTTTTTTCGATTTTGTAAATACTCTTTTTATGATAATTTTCCTTCGACATTTCTATTTCTGTTATCAAACTCCATTTTTAGCAAACACTAATAAAGTTTTTATTTGTAATTTGAATCAATTTGGAAAACAATGATTGCTGGAAAGGTTTATTTTATTTGAAGGTTTAAAATATTCACAGAGATGACTATCCATGCACACATTTATTACAACAGATTTCCGTAATGAGAAAATATACTGGAATATCATTCTAAGACCTTTTCAGATAAAAAATTTCATGCAAGAAGAGCTAGCTGTGATAGCCTTGTGTTATGGTCACGAACTTGCAGCCGACATGTAATGAGTTCAAGTCTCAGTGCCACTGAAGACTCGCTGTGTAGAGGGGACTGATGTACAGTAACTCTGCTGTGCATCAGTCCGGTTGGTGTGGTATGGAAGTTTGGTGAAGGGGTGCTAGCTCAGGTGTTGTCCTCATCACTTTATGATTCAGAATTACGAGATCTGTCGCCAATAGCTTTATAGTGCAACATTAATAAATATTCTCTTTATATAAAAGGAAAAGTAGTTATGAAAATAATATTGCAGAAGCATCAGTTATAATTCAGCTTATTAGTTTTAAGCTAAATCGTTAATTTTATTTTATGGCATCTGATGTATCAAAGACAATATAATTTTCTCGTAAGTTTTAGATCAGTTATTGTTATTGCTTTGTGTTTTTTTGGATTATGTATTGCTTTACCATCAAAAAATATTTTTGTTTCATACGAGGAAGGATTATCTCTCAAAAGTTCCTGGACTGAGCCTGTAGCATCAAAAATTATAGAGCGATGATGATAACATTTCTGTGTCACGGCATTCTTTCCCTTTTCTAAAAAAGTTTTTCCCAAATCAAGTGGTCGTTGGCTTACCACAGTGTTGTATTTTGTAGGTGGATGCATTTAGTAGGCATCGATTAAGATAAATTGCGTTTGTTGAGCAAAGAATAACATCAAATTTTGTGTTGGCCTGGAAAAGAGTGCTATAGAGACTTATGAAAAGTTGAAGCATGTTTAAGGCAATGATACAGTATCGCAAACGCAAGATTTTGAGTGGCATTGACGTTTCAGTGAAGGCAGGAAAAACATCAAAGACGACAAGGGCTCGGGATGTCCACAGACTTCCAGCATTGCTGAAAACATTGAAAAGGTTTCTGCGGCGGTACATAAGAACATGCTTCAAACAACGAGAGGGTGAAAATGAAAACTGTTTTGCCACATACTCCTTACTCCCCTGAAACTTCAGAATATTTCTCTGACTGACATGTCACTTGCAGGGTCGTCGATTTCAATCTGCAGATGAAGATAAAAGTGTATAGCAGGCTGAGAATTAAAGAACATGGCTAAAAATGGATTCCAGAAATGTTTCGATGAACTTTACAAGCGATGGCAAAAGTGAGCTGTTGCTCAAGGGTCTTATTTCGAAGGAGGATGTGTTTCAGCAACTTAACTGCTAATAGTTTTTAAGTCTTATATGCTCTATCTCGAAACTTTTGAATCTTACTATATACATGGATAATGGATGTTATTGTTGTCACAAATTTACTTGCCTAAATATTTTTGAAGTGTTTTGAATTAAAATATTCCTGGTATTTTTTTATGCAAACCAAAATCCATAATTTAATTATTGAATTATTCTAAATCGATACAAAGTTTTAGCAAAGGTATATATGGAAGTATATATGCAGTGAAAAACACTGTTCGGGGGGAATCTTGCAACTGAATTTTGAAGATAATGTCTTCAACCGATTAAGCTGAAATTTTGTAAACACATTTAGTTTGGATGACAATGCATGTTTTGACCAGTTATATTCCGATATGGTAATTAGTTAAAGAGATATTAATTAAGGTAATTTGTTCGGGTGGAATCTTGCAACTCAATTTTGAAGCTGATGTCTTCAACCGATTGAGCTGAAATTTTGTATACACGTTTAGTTTGGATGAGAATGCATGTTTTGATGGTTTATATTCCGATATCGACCTAGTTACTGTAATGATCATGTTCAGGTGTTAAGTCGAGGATGTTTACAGTAACAAAGGTGTGGACTAGGGGCGTAGCTCAGATGGTAGAGCGCTCGCTTAGTAAGCGAAAGGTACGGGAATCGATACCTTGCGCCTCCAATTATTATTTTTTCGTGTAAAATATTTTTGAAATTCGTTTGATTTGTACAACGGGGTATTTTACAATACTTCCACTCAGCACACGTGCAAAGTAGGTTATATTTTTACTGTTTTAGAGGGAACACTAAGAAAGGCAGATCTATCAAGCTATTTCTATTTACTTTAATCATTCTATGATATCTATTTACTCGATTCTAGTTTCTCCCGTAACACTTTTAATTGACCTAGTCACTGTAACGATCTTGTTCACAGGTGTTAAGGCTAGCATGTTTACAGTAACACATGTGTCAACCGGGGGCGTAGCTCAGATGGTAGAGCGCTCGCTTAGTATGCGAGTGGTACGGGGATAGATACCCCGCACCTCCAATTATTTTTTCGTATAAAATATTTTTGAAATTCGTTTGATTTGAACAACAGGATATATTTTACAATACTTACACTCAGCATATGTAAAATGTATGCTATAATTTTACAAGCTTTTATTTAACCTGCAATGTAAAATGTTCGGGGGAAATCTTGCAATTCAATTCTGAAGCTGATGTCTTCAACCGGTTGAGCTGAAATTTTGCATACACGTTTAGTTTGGACGGCAATGCATGTTTTAATCATTTATATTCTAATATCGCAATTAGTTAAAAAGACTAGCTACATGACCCGGCGTTGCACGGGCATTCTCTTTTTTATATTTTCCCTTTCCTTCACAAAATCAGCACTTCTCTAATACTCTTTTTCAAAAGGACTTCCACTCCCCTCCTCCGCTTAGCTCTGCGCTGCTCGGGCTTTTACCGTGGGTATAACTTAAAATTCCCTGTTTCGAAATTTTTTCGCTTTTCTTTGTCATACAGGTTTATACCCTCCCCCCATCGACGTTGCACGTTCATTTTTAAATGCATAACATATTGTCATGGAAATTCCCCTTCTCCTCTGACTATCATAGCTCTCGAGTAAGTGACCATTCACTGATTCCTAAGCAGTTTGACACGTGCAGCCATTTAGTGGCACAAAAAGTTATGAATTATTGCTCAAATTAAATTCATAAAAAGAGTTTTCGACACTTTATTTTTTAAATCGCTAACTGTAAAACATCAAAGTACGAGTTTTTTTAAAAATCATTTTCATATAAACGCATCGATATTGATTCATTTTAGAAAAAATAATAAAATATGTAAAGTATCTTTGTTTTGTACAAAAAAAAAAAAAAAAAAAAACATACTGTATCTCGTGACGAAATAAATTATCTTTCCAATTACAAAATTGCTGGCAAAGTTATTAAATGCGCGAATAAAATTTTGAGTTTTTTTTAAAAAAAATGATAAAAACTATATATATATATATATATATATATATATATATATATATAAGCGATGATGTTGCTTTGAACCCGGTTACAAAAGTTACCAATCCACACAGCGTGCTAAGCGACCAATCCACGAAATCTTCGGTGCAAAATAAATAAACAGTTGAAATAAATGGAAGAGGTATTCTCAATTTCGCATTGCGTTATTTGTTAAAGTTAAAACTTTTTTTTTCAGGATTCATTTTTAAGTTAATGCTTCCAAACTTCATATGTCGATTACAAACAACGGTAATTTTTATACAAAAAATGTAACAAAAATAATGCTTAAATATTTCTCGCAAAAAGGGGAAAAAACGAAAAACACATTTTTTTATACCGTAATTTTTAAGCAATATTTTCAATCTTCGTACAGATTACAGATATTATTGTTCTACACACGGAAAAAATGTTTCATTAGATTATTTTTATAAATAAAGAAATTATTAAGTATTTAAATAAAATTTTGAAAACTCGTAAAACAAAAACGTTTTTGACATTTTATTTTTTAAATGACTGATTCTAAAAGGGAAAAGCTTGAATTTTATTAGTGTAGAATATCATTTCATTAACGTGAAAGAAAATGCAATTGGAACGATTTAGAAATCATTTTCATAAAAACATCGATTTTAACCGAGTTTAGAAAAAATCGTATAAAATAGAAAATATCAGTATTTTGTAAAATAAGTTATACTGTAACGTGGCGAAGTAAATGATCTTTCCAATTCTGTAATTATTTTTTGTCTGAGTGTCATAAAAAAAAATTAGATCGTGTTTTACAAACGTCTGGGATAAAAAAAAAGGTTGGTAAATTGGAATTTCGCACCCTGGCGGGAAAAAATGGTAATAATTATACGTTTTAAGATTTTTAATTAATATCTTTTTAACTAATTACACTTTTGGAATATAAATGGTTAAAACGGATTCCTCGAATCATTCCCAATGGTTTGGTATCGTCGGCGAGTTTTGCGTCGTGCGGTTCGTGAGAAGATACACCATGTCTTATAGTCGCATACGTTTGTTTACCTTCGAATTCTAATAGTGTAGATATTAATTAAAGTAATTTTTTGGGGTGAAATCTTGCAAAAGGTATAATTCTTTTAAAAAAAGAATGATATATTTTTTTATTTTTTACAATTTTTTCTAAGATGAGATTTTTCATAAAACTGATTTCTAAATCGTTCCGTACGAATTTTTTTTTCGTGTTATTGAATGGATATTCTGCACTAAGAAAGTTCAGGCTTTTCTCTTTTAGAATCAGTCATTTCAAACATAAAATGCCTAAAACTTTTTTTTTTTTACGATTTTTCAAAAAGCATTTACATTTTTAATAAAACATTTAAAAACTTCGTCATTTTTAAATATAATCGCACGAAAATATTTTTTCGTTTGTAGAATAGTATTATCGAAATTCTCCACAAAATTTTTAAAAATTTGGTTTAAAATTATGGATTTAAAAAAATGTGTTTTTCGTTTTTAATATATTATAGTAAAAGCAAAAAAAAAAAAAAAAAAAAAAAAAAAAAAGAAAAGAAAAGAGTTTTAATATTTTAATTAATTTTGCTTTGTCCAATGTTGTTTTGGTCTAACAGTGTTTATCCCCCCTTTCCATTATCCTCTTGTTGCGGCCGGAGTGAAATATCTATCATATATATGTGGCCAGGTGGGAAAAAGGTTGAGTACCCTTTAGCTGGACTGTTCGAAATTAACTGGCAAACGACCTTGCAACAATAATGCGTTGAATGAGATTAACAGAATGTGAAACTTCTGTCCAGCGATTACTAAAAAGTAAAAAATAAATTAAAAGTAAAAAAAAAAACTTTTTTAAAAACAAGCTTTTTTTTATTCAAATGCTCTAAAAAGAGAATAAAATAAACTTTTCTGTTAAAACATTTTTTTGCTATCTACTTATAAGGTCGTTACACGATTTATGATATAAAAGCTTGTCGCGAGTTTTACCTGTGTAGATAAACAAGCAAATTAAATAACTTGATCTGATTGATTTTAATTTTTAAAATTTTCAAACTATTGGGTTGTGCGGAAAGTAATTTTGTTTTTTCCCTACAGAGGATTTAATTGTATTTTTTTGCACCCAACTTCACATTTAAGCCGTATAATTTTTATATGGTTTGAAAGCTCATATAGCAAGGCTTGTGTGTGAAAAATTCCAATTAATTCTACGCAGTAGTTTTTGGTTGGTGCCCTTTTAAATATGGAGAGCGATAAGCAGCATTTTCGACATATCTTACTGTTTTACTACAGAAAGGGTAAAAATGCTGTTCGAGCCAGAAAGAAATTGACCGATGTGTATGGAGAAGGTATGTTGACAGTACGCCAGTGCCAGAACTGGTTCGCTAAATTTCGATCCGGCAATTTTGATGTCGAAGATGCACCACGTTCGGGAAGGTCGGTTGAAGCTGATAAAGACGCGATAAAGGCATTAGTTGAAGCGAACCGGCGAATAACAACACGTGAGATCGGATTAAGGTTAAATTTATTAAATTCAACAGTTTATGACCACTTGAAAGGCCTGGGATTATCCTCGAAGCTCGATGTATGGGTTCCCCATGTTCTCACAGAGAGAAATCTGTGTCGCCGCATTGACGTCTGCGATTCGCTTCTCAAACGTCACGAAAATGATCCGTTTTTGAAGCGCATCATCACTGGGGACGAAAAAGGTCATGGAGCAAAAAAGATGAACCGGCTCAAACCATTTCCAAAGCCAATATTCACCAAAAAAAGGTGATGCTGTCTGTTTGTTGGGATTTTAAAGGAATCGGTTTTTTTTAGCTTTTACCGGATAACACAACGATTAATTCGGAAGTCTGCTGTCATCAGCTGGACAAACTGAATGATGCACTTCAACAGAAAAGGTCAGAACTAATCAACAGGAAAGGTGTAGTGTTTCAACAAGACAACGCGAGGCTTCACACAAGTTTGGTCACTCGCCAAAAGCTTTTACAGCTTGAATGGGATTATTATTTGTTCCGGTCACTCCAAAATTTTTTAGACGGTAAAACCTTCACCTCAAATGAGGTGGTCAAAAACCACCTCGATCAGTTTTTTGTCAGCAAAGACCAAAAATTTTATGAGGGTGGAATTATGCTACCAGAAAGATGGCAAAAGGTGTTGGACCAGAACGGCCAATATATAATTTAATAAAGTATTTGTTTATTATACGAAAACTGTCTTTCATTTCCACAAAAAAAAAAAAAAAAAAAAAAAAACGAAATTACTTTCCGAACAACCCAATAAGTAAATACGAGTACTTAAATCTCGCGACAAGCTTTTATATCATAAATTGTGTAACGACTTTATAAGTTGATAGCAAAAAAAGGTTTAAAAGAAAAGTTTATTTTATTCTTTTTAAAGCATTTAAATAAAAGCTTGTTAAAAATTTTTTTTTAACTTTTAATTTATTTAAAAATATTATAACTATTTTTTATAAAAATCAATAATCAAAAAGCTACTTAAAAATTACGCCACAAAAGTCTTCGTACTCTTTACAAAAATCTCAAAATAGCTTTAAATATTGTACTTCTTTCTTAATTTAGTACTTAGTAGGATATCTTTTAGTGTCCACAACAGCTTTTAAGCAACTTGGTGTAGATTTAATCAGTTTTTTTGTAATTTCTGAATCGATTTTCCTCCATTCTTCTGTGATTATTGTTTTTACTATACATTATGTGCTTATTTGTCATGTTTTCTTTTTTTTTTTAATTCCCACTATTAACTCATACTCTCTATACATTTATTTGCTCTATACATTTATTTATCGGTGGAATTTCCAATCGTTAATAAAATACATTTTAAACCTCTCAATTAAGCTGAAATTTAATATACATAATTATTTTGGATGACAATATAATAATTTAGTTATAATTAATAAAAATTAATTGATTAAAATTAATTATTTAAAGAATTACATAGGCAGCCACGTTGGCGACTTAGCGACCATTTTGGCGACGTGTGTCAAAACTTGAAAAGGTTTTTTTCTCATGTTTTAAAGCATTCAATTGAACTGAAATTTTAT